TAGGACAGAAGACGCTTTTATACAAATGATCTAACCAAGTAGTAAACGAATTTAAACATAGACATGATAGCGTTTGGAAATACCTACACTGGAAGATATACCAACATTATAAGTATCTCCATACAGAAAAATGGTATTAATACAAACTACAACTACTGCTAAAAGGTAAAAAATATTTAGTGCTCTAGGACTTCATAATACATACCGACCGCACTCTGCAAGTCAACAGACCAGACATAATAATAAAAGACTTAAAAAATCATAAGGGACACTCAGAATTATTAAAAAACAATACTAATAAAGACATTAAGAAAATTTTAAAGAAAAACTTTAATATCTGAGATGTAAAAGATTATAGTCCTGAACACTGTTCACATCATCCGAAAAAACTCTCAAATACACTCAATAACGTTCTAAGATAAAACCTTTCTTTATCTTATGTCTAGAATAAAAGACTTAGCAAGGGGTTATAGGGGTTGCACATCAGGTAAACTGGGAAAATACTACTACTACTATTAATAATAAAAGAAGAAGAAGATACCACTCAGTTATATTGCAAACGAACTAAAGTGAGATGAACAGTCGAAAATATGAAGAAAATGGTAAGAAAATAACGGCAAGAGACAAAGACAACAAATTGCAGAAAAAATGACATAAACATGATAGCGTAAAGGATATTTACTTAATGGTGACCCAGAAAAATTTTGCTCGAACGAATTAAGTTAATGATAGGGCCAGATAGAAGAAATAGTAAATGTAAACTGTGCGGATATAGGTATACAATTATCAATGAAATGAAGCCCAGAAGGATTACATGAATAGGCATGACTGGGTAGGAAAGGTGATTCGCTGGGAATTGTACAAATTTCCAATTGTATATGTGTGAAACGGAAGTTTTTGTTAAAATTAATACATATGTCCAGATATATAATGATCGTAAACAAAGATAAAACCATTTGCCAGGGATTGTTACGAATGCATCAGCGTATAGAGTAAAACTGAAAGAAATTTAAAAGCTAAAACTCATCTACACTTTGCAAGAGCATTGGAAAAAAAAAAGAAATCTGAAAGTGACCAGAGTCTTTATAGTTATTAAAACAGTCCCGAACATTCTTGGAAAAAGGTTTGGAGATTTGAAAATGTCTAAAAGAATCGAAGCAATCCTAATGACAGAAATTATTAATAAAATCGACAAATAATAAGGACAAATAATAAGGGAAGGTGTTAGTTTTGCGGATATTTGCTGTCACTTGATTTCCACTCACTATTTGTGTGAAAGTTCAATTAAATACTTATAAATAGGAAAATAATAATAAAATCCTTTGAATTATAAGTTCAAAACCAGACTCTTTCCTTAATGACGTTCATGATAATTAGTAAATGTATCTCAAGTCTAAGATAGTGATCGCCAATATTTCAAGTGGGGAGTGTCTACTTACCTTAAAACTCAGTATTCAATATCCAGACTCTGGACTCGATGGTTGATTTTTGATATAGTAAATACCCAAGTACATCAGCCCTTTAAAGATCACCCCATAACCCGGCTGTTTCGAAATAGCTTTTTCTGGCGACTTTCTTGTCAGTTCCACGCGCGATTATATCTGAAGTTTCGATCTGTTATTAAGACTTGAGGAGAAATTCCTCAATAAAAAAGAAGAAAATACATGTTCACTTTGTTCAGTTTTTAACGCTTACTTGAAAAATAAAACAAGTATATATTTACAATTCTTTCATTTTCAGCAAACATTTAATTCGCACAGACAGGCAACTGATTACATGAATGAATGAAAACAATTCAAATTAGAACTACTACTTCTGATTCTGACAACGAATTAGTAAAAGGAAAGAAGGCAATTTTTAAGTCCACGTAATGAAACAGGACATTTACAAAGCGAAATATTTTGATTTTACACTCAATAAACATCGGCAATTCAATTTTATTATGTTGATGTCAGCGTTGGGCGTTAGTGATATATGGCAGTGGATATTGAAACTTCCCATCAGTAACCCATATTTATTTGCCTTGATATCGAGTGGTAATCTGACAAAATAGCGCCCGACACAAAATTACGTAGGAAACAGAAATGTGTTATTGAATGCAGAAAATTGACCCATTGATTCAACATTTGCTGAACGTTTAAGGAGACAAAACAACGAATGTAAGAACAGTTAGGCGGTAGATATTTCATTTTTGGATATTACATTGACGATAGTGATATATGTGACAATCTAGGTTTTGGGCGGCCCTACACTGTTATAAAATCCCGAAATAAAGATCACCGCGTTCAAATCATCATCCGCAAGAATCCTTGCATTGCAAACACAGAATTCTGTACAGAGGTGAAAATTCGCATTTAATGCGATATTAGCATACTTGTGATATTACAAATTTAGTGCCAAGTAGGTCCTACAGATGCCCATCAAAGTAAATGTGCGAGACTAAACTATCAGCGTACAAAGCGATGTGCAATGACTTTTGAAACAGGAGAAGAGTGATCCTTCTCGCTTTCCGATAACGCAGATAAACCGTTAAAACTCCGGACGCCACATTACGCTACTGACTAATGTGTAAGGATCGAATTTCCAAATTCAGGTAATGAGAAAAACGATTCAGGTTTGCAAAACCATAACGCCTGGTGCCATAGTAATTTGAAGACTAGGGATTAAATTAAATATTTTCGTTTGACTGACCAACAACATCAACCGTATAATCAGAATTTGGCACTTTTCGACTTTGTTCTGTTTGAGCCGATCAAAGATAGACTAAATAGGCAACATTCCACTGACAATGATCCACTGACAGATGCTGTGAAAAAGCGATACGCCTCCACTGATACTGATTTTACAAGTAGAGTATGTAGGTTCTTGTTCAACTTTAAAAAATATCGCTTGGATAATAGAAATGATTTTATCTCAATCAAACTAATTTTACCGAAAACTTTCAAATACTTTATATCCATCCATGTATTTTTTCCGGGCTATTGTCTTCATTATTGTTTATAACGCACTGTTTCTTCAGATCCATTTTTCATATTTCTTTTGTGAATGTTGTATCTGGTGGTCTTTACAAGTCGTTTAGTACAGTTAAATTAAAATATTCGATATACTAATGTGGTTCGAGTTCACTATGCTGGTTAATAATTTGATTTATGTAATTACTTTGTTCTACAGCAGGCGACTATTTTATAATCGGACACCGAGTAAAGCTTTAATTCACTAGTCGCTTTAATGTAGGACTCTACATTCCACATTATATATATATATATATATATATATATATATATATATATATATGAGAGAGAGAGAGAGAGAGAGAGAGAGAGCGAGAGAGAGAGAGAGCAAGAGAGTTTTCCATAAAGTAATGGCAACTTTGGGCAAATATCAAACTATTAACAATTCAAATATTTATTACCTGTCATAATGTTTTCGGAATTACTTTTTCTCTTTATGTCACATTTACTAATTAATGTTATCCCAGAGCTTTCTAATTCTAATCGTTAAAAATGTTATCGTTCAATAAGAAAAAGAAGACAATCCGTGAAATTGCTGCTTGTATACACGAATGTAAGTACATCACGAGAAACGTTCTTTTTTATTATTTGTGTGGGCGTATGAGTGTGTATGAATGCGTCTGTATGTGATAATCGTTTAAAACTATAAAAGATATCCATTAAAAACGATAGAAAATATCTCTAGAAGCGACTAAACATAATGAAGTTTAGATAATGTTTTTCATTCAAGTTACGAGGAAAAATCTAACCGCATTAAAAATCTAATCTAAGAGCATAAAAAACGCCAGAATATAAGAAAAAAAATTAATAAGCACACTCAGAGAAAAAACAAAAACGATAAATATAATAATCTGAATAACACTATGTTTTTTTTTGTTTAATTTATACCTTAAAGACACTAATCTATATCGAACGCATAAAAACAATTCTTATTTATAATCTGCAGTAAAGCAAATATCGCGACAAATTAAAATCAACCTCTGATGTTTAACCTGAGGACATTAATGACTGAAATACTGAAAGTCGACTCAAAAGTACTAATAAGGTATACATGACAGATTAGAAATAGAAATACACTGGGAATTGCGCAAATGACTGAGTGCATATGAATAAATAGTATGTAAACAAAGTAGAAGGTAACAGAATAATAATAAAGTCTTGGATCTCAAGGAGGGAGACTCGATCTGATACATGTAAAAGAGGACTTGGAAAATCTTAGATGTCTCTGTACCAGCGAAAAACAGGTTAAAAATGAAAGAAAGTGCAAAATTAGAAAAATACCAGGATATTGTCCTTGAATATTGTGGGATATGAAAGTTAGAATTGTGCATTTATGACTGGTGCAACTGAAACCGTGTCCAAAACACTAGAGGCAAAATTAAACGAATGAGAAATTCAAGAAGGATTTAGACTATCGAAATCACAGAAGTACTGTATCTTTTTCCTTCAAGGATATTCTGAAGATTAAAATAGCTAATAATGAGTGGTTACCACTAAATCCCCAGTGAAACAAACAGTGAACATTTAATAATAATAATAAAAATAATTTTTGGTTCACTACTTAATGATAACGAATTTCTAATATTTTACTGGTAGTTTGTAGGAAAATTTTAATACAAAATTAAACCTGAAGAAAGAAAATAAAATTCATGTTAAAATTGATTCTTAATTAAAAATAAAAAAAAAACTAGAAAACATTTTAGAGCCTAACCAAACGTTTTCCAATAAATTATTTTATCTGTCGATACTTTTAATATTAGTTCAATTTCAAAGTAAAAAAGACAAAATATTTTGTAAAATAATTACAAAAACACAATTAAAAAAGTTCAAATAAAAAACTGAAAAACAATTAAATTTTTAACCTGAAAATTTTGACTCACTGCAAAGAAAAGGAGAAAACAATATTTAAAAAAATGAAATGTTGAGTTACGTTATGAGAAGAAAAAGCCTCGTTGTTTGTGTAACATTCAAAGTGAACATTTAAACTTTTCAACTCCATGAAAGACGCTTGTTAATAATATTGAAAAATAATTCATTATAAGGTTTGAAATATAGATTGAGTTTGTTGACCAATTCGGGACTGACGGAATGATTTTTATGACCTTTGCATGGTGCCAAACACTGAGTGCTTGAATGCGTCCATAAACAATAATAACCCTTGGTCGAATTGTATACAAAACTATCTTTGGTTATCAACCGTTCAAGACCCAGGAAATCTTGCACTTTTGAAAGTTCGTCTTGCGGTTCTACAATCAAATTATTGCCGTCGGCGACATGGATTTGGTTGGGAGAAAAGTAAGTCAACCAGTTGAGTATGTAACGATAGTAGATTGATCGAATCACTGGCAAATACTGAGTTCGCAGTTTTTTCGTGCTGTTATCATATACCAGCTCCTCAAAAGTGTAGTTGGTCTCTTTCCTTCCAGAGAACGTAGTTCGTCGGTGAATATAGTCCGATATAGCTCTTTGGACGGGATCCTTAACGATGATGATTAACTTGATACTGTGGTTCATTTTGTGAATTCGATAGGGGGCGACACGGCTATAGAAATATTCGGGTGATTTCTCTAGCGTAATCTGATCTGGACAAGATAGAGGCATTTTTTTCAGATAATGCTGGTAGCCTTTGTAGTAGTTATCATTCCGATTGAAGAACTTTGCCTCTCCCTGGGCAATTTCGACGTCAGGATGAGCCCCGATGAACTCAATTAATGCTTTTGTGCCGGATTTCGGAGTGCCAATTATAATGCAACCAGGCAAGCGTCGTTTGACGTCACAGTTGCGGTAAGGTTGCATCCAACTCCTACTTTTGATGTTCATAAAACGAGTTATAAGGTCGACATGACCCAGTATAATCCACACTAAAAGGCCACTGAACAAAAGCACTGGAAAGGCGTAGCAACTTCTTCCTCGGAAATGTAGTCGATGCTTTAGCAGATTTATTGGATACGAAAGGAGGAGGGTCTGAAAAAACAAAAGAAAAAAAACACGAAATATCATCAACAGTCAAAATATGTGACATCAAAGAAAACACAAAGATAAATCCATTCCACGATGAAAAAATAATTAGCAAAAATAAAAATTCGGAAACATTGAATTCCAAAATTTTTTACTTCTGATTCTTGCAAAAACTAATGATGCAATTTTACTGATTATGCAAGCAAATATTGACTCGTTTAACAAGATAAATCATCGTTAATGAAATTGACATGCTGATTGAGTTCAGAAGAAATCTAACCGGTTTCCTGAAATCCTATATTTGTTAGAAAGGGACAATTACCCATCAAATTTCCACTGTTTTAAGCAAAACAAAATAAAATAACTGTCTATATTTCTGAGATGAGGTATAATGTACATTATTTGGAATATTGTCCTCATCTTTGTCGCCATATTTATTACAACGCTTCGGCCGTTGTACGCTCCGGCCTTCTTCAGGTGGTTGGAATGTCGAACTGAACCCTTTATTTCGCTCACTGCAGTAGACTATTCTAGTTCCACGTGCCATGTTTAATGGATGTCAGTTATCAGTTATCTCCAGTTAATTTTCCTCTGAAAGTTCTCCACTGCCTTAACCGGGTATTGAACTCACACTCTTTGGTTTTTGCAATTTTTGTTGTTATTATCGCTTTTCTCTGGGACTCCTCATTATTGGTTCCCATATTGTATTAATTTCTATGCTTGGTCGGCTCAGGAGATTTTTGTGGCCTATCATATGTACTGATACTTTAAGTTTACGAAAATTGCAATATGAGCTCTGGTAAAAACATGAAATGATAACAGCAATAACAGCAAAAATTGCAATATGAGCACTGGTAAAAAATGGTTGCTGAAGACATTAGGTTTATAATAACCAGAAATTCATACACAGATGTCCTCAAGGACACATGGCACAGTGGATAAAGGCGTTAGTTAGATCCAGTGACAGGACAGTTGTTTTTACACAACTCCTTGGGTCTTTTAGTTGGCTAAAATCTTTACGTTTCCTATCGATGCTTGTGGTCATTGTTTGCATTCAGGTTTTTGACTTCTAATTTTTGAGGCACTCTATCTACATCGAGAAGAATCCAAAAACAATCAATTGTACTCATTACGCTTTTCATCGAAATCATCTGAGGATCTGAGAGATTTTTGAAGATCTTAATTTCCTATAGCTGATAGCTTTCTGGTGAGGCGGAATATCTAAATATCTAAGTCTGGTCTGTAATCAATCTCTGAAGAACGCATTACGCAATTGACCATGGATTTTTACCAAGGAAATTTGTATAAAATATTTGTGTGTTAGGACAGATAACAATTTCGAAGAAACAAGTTTTGTCTCTCTTCACTGAAGAACCTTTCTATATAACAAAAATAATGTGTGATTTCAATAAATAGTCTGACACTTAAGAGAAGGGTCTTTTATATTTTTGACCCGGTTTGAATGAAAAGTTTCCTTTAAAAATGTAGGTTTGAGTTAATTAGCCTAAATGTGGTACAAAATGGAGACACTGTTACCAGTTGCATTGGGCTGAGGAAGGGCTTGTCTTGTGGGAGGTGCAAGAATGGTGCAAATGCATGCAAGCGTACGTTTATGCACTGGAAAACAGATTAAAATTACGTACGTGCAAACAATGGAAAAATACAGACTATATATATATATATATATATATATATATATATATATATATATATAAATGATTTATAACTTATACTCACGCACACAGGCACGCGGGTACACACACACACACACACACACACAGGCACGCGGGTACACATATATATATATATATATATATATATATATATATATATATATATATATATACTATGAGTAGAATCATTGAAATAGACGAAGGAAAACTACAAAAAATCCTCAAATATTGTGTGAGTTTGTCAAAATGAATTCGCAGTAATCCTAAAAGGAGAACACCACCACCACCATCACCACCACCACTACCATCACCACAGTAAATGCCATTGATATTCAGCTGGGGACGAATGAACAAAGTCAGTGTATCATTGCGAATAGTACAACGTAACCGAATCGCCAGTAAGAAACCAATGATCCACATGCCGATCTGTTTCCTCATATCTTAGGCACAATTTCATCAATGATTGTGTCGCATTTATTCTACAAAGAAATAATATGACACTACAACGGCAATTCTGTTCGTCGAATACTTTCTCTTCTTTGTTATTTGGAATCATTCAAGTGCTTTTTCCTTACTTTCTCTTTCGTCCCGGTTTTAGGAAATATAAGTTTTCATCAACCCAACGGAATATGGCATGAAAAGAGAATTTGAAATTTTCTTAACATGTCAAAATAAATATACTAAATGTTTAAGCATTCACATTATTCGATGAATTATTCAACCAACAAACATTATCGTTGTTGTTTTGATTACAACGTTTTCATCAATACATTCTTGCACGTTACTAATGTATATATTGCATGAAGAAACTCCTTCATTCATTTTCTTTTTAACTCCTCAAAAGAAAAAAATGTTGTGCACAGATTTGAATGTCAAAGTCTTGTGCTCAGAAACACGAGACAACTAGGTTTTGTTGTGAAGGGTATCTTTGATGCACTGATATCGTTGAGGAAAATAAGGTTTTGTATAACTGCATCTGTCAGACATGAACTTGAAATGTACGTTAAATTTTTCTATTTCTATTTGAGTTGTGTCTTAGTTGAAAGAAAAAAAACTGTTCAAAGGAAAGTGGGATGGATGTTAACTTTGGTATTTTAAACAAAATTTTCATCGAGGATTTGCCGTATTTGTACTTTGAATTGTTATACAGACTCTGTGTGTGGGGTGGTGCGTGTGCATACGTGATTGCGTATGCGTGTATGTGCGCGCGCGTGTGTGTATGTGTGAGTGTAAGGCGAATAGCAATTTGAAAAATATTTCTATCTAAATTCACAATTGGATGGAACAAAGAAGACGAATCCTATTATTCTATCTGGGTCATAGAATTTCGGTAATGTTTGATGTGAATAAACCCACTGGGACTCATAGGTCAGCAAGGCCCTTGATTATTTCTTTCTATCAATTGTTCTCTTTATTCACAAATTGCATAATTGACGCGCTTTGTTTTGCACATAGCTTTCTATGTGTTTTGACTTGTAGATAAATAGCTTTTGGGTTGCATAGTCGAACAAGTATATTTCGATGCAGGTCTGTGTTACTGAGATATTTTTCACATAGAAAATATAAGCAATAGTTAGCAAACGCATCTCCCAAGCAATTTACTAGTGTATATAATGAATGCCCAACCCATGTAAGCTTATGTTAATCTAAGCGGATTTGAGTAAATAATAGCAAAATGATAAGCTTTTCTTCAAATACAAACTTCTCAATTTGCGTCAAAAAAGGTTTAATTCAAGTCGACTCCAGTAGTTGATGCGAAGAAAAGGGAGCAAGGAAATGTGTTAAGAAATTATCGCACAAATCGAAAAGATAAAAATACGACCCTAAGTTTCTTCGCCTCTCCAAACAATTTTTAAAGAACTTATCAGGCTTTAATTAAGGATAATGCTGAACAATTCACCAAAACGATTTCGCTGAGGTTTGTTTTCTTTGTGGAATTCCAGATCAAGAAATTAAAAAATTAAATTTTCAAAGTTGTCTCAGAATCATTAAAACTTTTATTCCCAATTTCTGGGATTCAATTTTTAAAGTAAGCAAATTATGTTTAGATAAGCATAATTCGCGACAAAAATATGTCATAATTTTAAAACTCGTTACTCATTCTCAAATGTCAAGCTGTGTGCCTACAACTTCCTCATCTCTTCTACAAAGCAAAAGTTCATGTCTTCTAAAGATACGCCGACATTCTTCAGTGATAAAGAGACAAGAACTCAATTCAGGGGAAATATGAGACCCACTCAATCCTTTGGGAATGTGGTGCCATTCCAGTTTGACGAGAAAGATTAAAAAATATTTCTCTACTTCTCCAGCTTCCGGACAATGTCAACAATAGCGGCTTTTGTATAATTATCCTATTTGCTAAAGCCAAACATGCTATTTGATATTGTTACACAAATATCAAATCCTCGGTAGATTGCCCGGCTGTTTGGGACCATTTTTTACATGTGACTTTCCAATTAGATGTTCTTCCCCCCCCCCCCGCCTAACGTTTAGATTTTTTCATTTCTGCTTTTCTAGTGAAAATCCTAATAGCCAGCAATCGGGCAGTTTTATTGATTATAGCTTAGAAATAACTTGTATAAAATGCAATAACTGAAATAATTAAAGATTAAAGTACGGCATGAGAACATTTTAACAACAATAGTAGATACTGTGGAGAGAGATAGAGAATTTGTCAGACTTGCTGTCAGTTGACCCTGAGCGATATCCACTAGATAATCCGGATGTAAAGATACAGAGATTAATAAAAAATAATAGTGCAAACGGAATTCAAAAAAAGAAGTTGCATCCCAAATGATTGAGACAAGAATTTTTAAAATAATCACTACAAATTACATTGCCGATCAGGACGTCTCAATCTGTCATCATTTTTTTAGCTTTCACATATATTAGGCAACACAAATTGTTACTGTTCGTTCCTGAGTTTCCATCTGACTCAGAATAATTAGGTCATATCCATTGTCCACCTTGAAAGATCTTTTGCATAACACCAATGCAATTCAATGTCAAATCTGGTCTGTTAGATCCTGCGGCCGATGCCTTTACCGTAAAGGGCTGGCTTCAGTGTGATGTGTTTTGCCAAAGGGGAACCCGTGATTTGCTCTCAGGGCCACATAAAGTTTTGAATTACGAGCTGTCCTTCACTTAGACTGATTGCCAACCAAG